TTGTCAATCTGGTACATAAAATGGTTTCTTTTTTTAAAAAGTGTAAATTTTTTTTATTAAAATCAAGCATCTTTTCATATGATCATTGACATTTAGGTTTCTTCATGCCCTCAGCTTATTTTTGTATTGAGGTATTGTTTTACTGTTATTGACTTAAAAGTGGGAAGTTAAGTAAATACAAGTTTTTAAGGATAGTAATCTAATGACCTATATGTTGCAAATTTGTTTACCAAGTGTATTAGGTCTTTTGCTATTGAGGAAACATTTATTTTTACTTAGTCCCAGCTATCAGTCTGTTTTCACTTAAGATTTCTAAATTCTGTAACATGCTTGGAAGGGCCTTCTTCATCTCCAGATTATAAAAAACCAACTGAACCATCCAGGCATTATGGCTTTAATTTTTATGTTTAAATATTTGATCTTTTGGGAATTGATTTTTGTACAAGATGAGAAATTGAAATCCAAGGTTTCTTTTACCCAAGTGGACAATTTCTTATCTCAGAAACATTTCTTTCGTGTGTGTCTCTTTTTTTTTTTTTTATTGAAGTGTAGCTGACATAGTATTGTATTAGTTTTCAGACGTACAATCAAGAACATTTTTTAAGGGCACCTGGGTGGCTCAGTTGTTAAGCGTCTGCCTTGGGCTCAGGTCATCAGGGTCCTGGGATGAGCCCCACATCGGGAAGCCTGCTTCTCCCTCTCCCACTCCCCTTGCTTGTGTTCCTGCTCTCACTATCTCTGTCTCTGTCAAATAAATAAATAAGATGTTTAAAAAAAACCCAAAAACATTTTTTAAGTAATCCGCCCTTTCCCACATTGATTTGAAATGCTGCCTTTACCATATATAACGTTTTCATATATACATGAAGTAATTTCTGGACTTTAATTTCCGTTTTGTCACTTTTTTTATTTGCTTCTTAGCAATATCACATTATTTCAGTCACTTCAGCTGTGTAATAATTTTGAAATCTGGTAGGCTAAAGTTCCCCTCTTTCCTGTTATTCTTTTTTTTTTTTTTTTTAATTTTCTTGGCTCTTCTCTGCCTTCAGTCTTCCAGATGCACTTTAGAATCAATTTGTCAAATTTATTAAGTTCCCTCTAAATTCTTATGGTATTAACTGGCATGACAGATCTGGCTTTAATGATGTTTTTCATTTTGTTTTAACCTAAGTTTTATATTCTTAATTTTCCTTTAGTGTTAGGTTTAAAATCGGAGTCAATCTCTTCCCTAACCTTAATTGTCTTTTTTTTGGTATTTCTTGTTCCACTGCTTTTTGCAAGTTTTTTACTTTTGCTTCTAACAGTGTATCAGAAATGATCTCATCTTAAACATTCAGCAGCGCTAAGGTCATTTTTAAAAACCATCTGAGGAGACAAATACCACATGGCTTAACTTACATGTGGACTCTTAAAAAAATAAATGAAGAAACAAAAGCAGAAGCAGACTCATAAATACAGAGAACAAACTGGTGGTTGCCAGAGGGGAGGGGGTCGGGATAGATAGGTGAAGGGAATTAAGAAGTATAAACTTCCAGTTATAAAATAAGTCAGTCACGGGATTGTAACATACAGCATGGAGAATATTAAGTCAGTAACACTATAATAATGTATGGTGACAGATGGTAACTGCACTTACCATGGTAAGCATTTTGTAATATATGTAATTGTCAGATCCCTATGTTGTGCACCTGAAACTAATATAATATTGTATGTCAGCTATACTTCAATTAAAAAAAAAAAAATATCTGAGAATCAGAATCTTGCAGGGCTGTGCTCTTCTCACATGCCTGTCCTGCCTGGGCCTGAGTTTATGGCACCTGTCTATCAATTACATAGTTGTTCTTCCCCCTAGAATCATAGATAATTATTCTCCAGTTAGAGAGGATTCTTAAATAGGTGAATAACCATATTTGGGAAGTTTGATAATAACCTTAATATTTAGCAATTGGTAAAATATGCGTGTTATATAAAAACAAAAATCAGTTTCATGGTTATAGAGGAAGGAAACTTTATTTGACATATTGGTTGTTCAAAATAATAAAGGACCTAGCATTTAAATTTATTTCAGACTCTATATAAGTTATGGCACCAGTTAGAAGGTAACAAAAAAAAATACAGTGTAGGCTATATTGCAGGAAATACGGCATCCAGATTAGAAAAGGTAATAGCTCCAATCTATACTAATTAGTTTTTATAGTTTTGTGCACCTATTTTGTGCCAGGAACTAAACAAGGTGCTAGGATACAAAGCTGAGAGACATAGCCCACTTAGAACTAAATAAATGATAGCTAGAACAAGCAAATGATCATAGGTTTTATGAAAAGTCAAAAGAAGGGCTTCCAGGAACTCGACCCCAGAGGCTGAGAACAGCTTATAAGGAGAGGTGACACACAGAGCAGAAACTTGGGAGGTGGAGCTATGGCCCTCACTAGCTCTGGGACCTCGTACAAATTCTTTAACCTCATTCTATCTCAGTTTCTAAATGTGTAAAATGGAGACAATAGTAATACATTTTACACTGTTGTCCTAAGCTTAATGAGATGGTGTATATATGGGAAGCCTCTAGAACAGACTCTGGCACACAGTAATGACTTAGAAAATGGTATGGAATGCCATTTTGAAGCGCTAGGCGGTAGAAGTAGCCCCAGCAGAGAGAGACTTCCAACAGAAGGAAAGGTGTGTGCCAAAACTGGAGTGGTTGAGCTGGGGCCTTCCTGGAATTGCAAAGTATTTAACCTGACTGGAGTGGAGGGAGTAGCTGAAGATGAAGCTGGGAAGGGAGGCAGGGGTGAGATCTCCAGATAGAAGCTGTTGTGCCATGTTGAGGAATCTGAGAGGCATTGAAAGTGTTTTGGAATCTTTGAAGGCCTAAAGTACGGGAGTGTCCAGAACAGTTTCCCCAGTTGAAAGACTGGTTTGTTACAGATGTGTGGAGGGCTAGCAAAGCTATTTGAAGTAGCATTTCCAGTTAGAGTGGTTGCACACTGGAACCACCTGGAGAACTTTCAACAGTCTGATGCCCAGGTTCACTCCCGACCAGTTTTATCAGCACCTGTGGGGGTGGGACTGAGGCATTGGTATTTTTTATTGAGTCCCAGATAATTCCATTGCACAGCCATGGTGGTGAATCACTGCGTTCGAGGGTGACTGTGTTCAAATCAGATTTGATAAAGTTTCAAATTAAACAAGTGGCAGCGGCATAAAGGAGCCAGAGTAAGGAGATAGCAGGTAGGATACAGTGGTCAGCTGAGTGAGGAGGGGGTTGATTATTTCTGGACTGGGTCACTGGGATGATAATGATCATCTACCAAGACTCGGTCATATGCCAGGAGGATGAAGGAGAAACAGATTTGGCTATTAGACCTTGTTGAGTGGGCATGAGAAAGATGAAGGATTTGATTTTAAAATGTGGGTATTGAGGGAAAACGATACAGGGCAAATGGGCAGAGAGAGAAAGTGAAGGGAGGAGCTGATGGTGCAGTCGAAAACTCAGGAGACGGTAGATAATTGGTAAGTGAGACCCCTGAGTAGACACCACGTGCAGAGACACAAAAGAAATCATTTATATGAGAATTTACATTCAGAGAGAAAGCAGTAAAAATAGGTGAGGGTGCAGATAGGTTCACAGGTCAAGGAAGAGAAGCTCTAATAGCTCTAATATAGCCTGATGGCCTGATTTCCTTACTGAAGGAAATAGGAGTATCTGCTGAGAATCAGGAGGTGAGAGGATGGGGTTAAGGAGTCTGGGCAGGTGCTGGGAGAGCCAAAGGGGCCATGTGAGAAGGAAGTGTCTCGTCCTGCTCTTAAATGCCGTTTTTTCCCCCAGAGTTTCAGTATTGAACCTCTTTCATGTACTTTCTGGGTGATCTCCTCTGTTACATTAGATTATTAAGAAAAACATTGATAAACTGAAGTTTGTCCAGAGGAGTTAAGTAGTTGACACAGTTCAGAAAGTTATTGGTTAGGGCGCCTGGGTGGCTCAGTTGGTTAAGCGACTGCCTTCGGCTCAGGTCATGATCCTGGAGTCCCGGGATCGAGTCCCGCATCGGGCTCCCTGCTCAGCAGGGAGTCTGCTTCTCCCTCTGACCCTCTTCCCTCTCGTGTTCTCTATCTCTCATCCTCTCTCTCAAATAAATAAATAAAATCTTTAAAAAAAAAAAAAAAAGTTATTGGTTAGCTTTTCATTTCTGGGGTCCACTTGGCTACCTTAATTTCAAATTTAAAGTGTTGGTATTGGGGCACCTGGGTGGCTCAGTCGTTAAGCGTCTGCCTTCAGCTCAGGTCATGATCCTGGGGTCCTGGGATTGAGCCCTGCATTGGGCTCCCTGCTCAGCGGGGAGCCTGCTTCTCCCTCTCCCACTCCCCCTGCTTGTGTTCCCTCTCTCGCTGTGTCTCTCTCTGTCAAATAAATAAATAAAATCTTAAAAAAAATAAAAATAAAGTGTTGATTTCACTTGAAAACACTGTATACATCCCACAGTTTTCAGTATCACTAGGTGGCATCATATTTTTTTCTCTGATGTGATAAAACCTCAAAAAACTACCAACTCATATGAAAACATGTTAACTTTTAGTATAAATATTTTCTTTTATACTATAAATAAATTCTAATATACTTTACTTCATGTCTACTTCATACTTTTTTTTGTTCTATGGTGTCTAATATAAAGACTTAACTAGATTTCTCTACTCTGATATAAACTCTGATTTGCAGTATGTATTCTCTAAATATTTTTTCCTCTGAAAACCCACTAAAAGTCCAGTAGTTAATTGTCAGATAGACTGAACTATTTATTTTACAGTTTTCCTATTTAGCAGAACTAATTGTATTCACTACAAGAAAGCAATCATTAGAATGGCTTTTCAGTAAGGCTTTTAACTTAGTTATTAAGATCATTATAAGTTACTTAAGCAAAACTGGGGTTAGGACCATGAATGTATAGATAGAAGGTGACCTTGATATTACAGAACATTAACCTAATATTTTGATATCATTTCAGGTAACATTTCATTTGTTGCATTTCCAGTTTCCAGCACCAACTCACCAACAAAGATTTTACCAAAAACCTTAGGACCAATAAATGTGAATGTTGGACCCCAAATGGTAAGAAAACCATCAAATCTTAGAATTTGACATTTTGCTTAGGCAAGACTAATTTAGAGGATAATTGTACTAAAGATGCTGGGCAAAAATTGCAGTTCACTTCTTATTCACTTTTTTAAGAAGTTCTGTTTTCATCGGAATGTAACTGGTTAAGTCTTGAGGAAAAGAAAGACATTGTGCTCTTCAGTGTTTAATTTTCATGTATTTGAATCTGGATTCGGGATATGTAATCTGAGAATCAGGAGGTGCGAGGATGGGGTTAAGGAGTCTGGGCAGGTGCTGG